CTTTTTTCTTTTTGCTTATGTGGTGCTGAGGAATTGAACCCAGGGCCTCAGGCATGCAAGGCAAGCACTCTACCACTGAGCCACCTTCCCAGCCACTTCTGGCTTTTTTGGTAGTTTATTGGAGATAAGAGTGTTATGGACTTTCCTGCTTAGGCTGGCTTCAAACCCATGATCCTCAGATCTCATCTGCTGAGTAGCTAGGATTACAGGTGTGAGTCCCCAGTGTCTGCCTAAATAAGTAACTTAAACCATAGCTTCCACTGGGAGTAACTAGATAAGCTCAATGAAAGAGGAAAGATATTCGATTGAAAATAAATGCTACTAAGCAAGAAAAACATGATGGGACCAAGATGTGGGAAAGAGGTGATGCTCTGAGACACAAGCTGAGCTTTTACGGCTGTTTATGCCCAAAGGTCACCTGTTGGCTGCAGAAGAGCTGAGAGATGAGAAGCCAAACAGCTGTGGACAGACCTAGGCGACACAGGGTTGAGAACTGGAGTTTGGGGCCCACCAAGGAGAAGAAGAAAGAACCTTAGAAAACACTGCATGCTTTTGAGTTGGAAACACAGAAGTCTAGCAATAGCTAGCTTGGAAAGCACTGTAGCCCTGTACCTTAAGAGATAGTAATCAAGATTTGAAATATTTCAATCCCTGTAAATAGGATTAAGGTGACCCAGGATTTCTAGTGTCCCAGCTGTCTTCCTGAAACAAGCGTAAATCTTCTATGAAGGAACAACAGATCCTTGGCCTTAAATCATGCATCGTTGTCCACATGCAATGTCTAGTACTTCATAAACAAAGCCTTATAGAGAAAGAGGAAAAGGTCATAAAAAAAAGTGAGTATGATGCTGGGTGCTGGTAGCTCAATCCTGTAATCCTAGCTACTCAGGGGGTCTGAGATCTGAGGATCATGGTTCATAAGCCAGCCTGGGCAGGAATGTCCTTGAGACTCTTCAATAAACTACTCAGAAAAAGCTGAAAGTGACGCTGTGACTCAAGTGGTAGAGCATTATTAGCCTTGAGCCAAAGAAGCTCGGGGACAGTGCCCAGACCCTGAGTTCAAGGCCCAGGACTGGCGAACATAAATAAAAAATGAAATATCCTGCTGTGGCCAGTTGGCTTGACTCTTGTTCTGGAAAAGAGGAACAGCTTTGGAAGGGGGGGGGGTTGGAAATGCAAGGTTTTGTCTTAAACTGTAAGATGGAAGTAAGACATACTTCAGGTTGTTCAAAATGTACGCATTATCCTGCCCATGTAATTGTAACCCCTCTGTACAGTACGTTCACAAATAAAATAAAATTAAAAAAAAAAGAAACGGCAGAGGGTGCAGATATATTTTGAGATTACTGTATACTGTGTTCTTATTTCAAAGTCACTTTATGTAAATCCAGTTTACCCTTTTGAAATTAGTCAATCAGGAGCAGATGGTGAACCTGAGCAGAGGGGCGGGGCCTGCTGCATTAGGGA